TTTAGCACTCTTCCTGCTACCTGCACAATTGATCATAGGTACATGTCATTGTATAGGTTAATCGGCAACATTCGTAGAGAAATCCAAAGAGAAACCACTGAAGGTTTCCATCCTAACTCCAAACCAGGCATCCATTTCAGAAATCTTAGAAGAAAATCCTTGATAATAGCAGCCTCTCACAGCCAAACCCTAAGGTATTCCTCCTCACTTTCAAATATGAGAAGCACATGCCTCGGATCTAATGCAGTGACCACAATAGCTTTTTGGAGTCTAAATGTACCAACCAGAAATTTCCTAATCTCTGCTAGGGAAGGGCGACCATATGAGCATTTTCCAACCTGCGCAAATTGGAGAGGGGAGAGAGATTTCTCAATATCTTCTTCTGAGAAAAGCATCGCCGGTTCTCCCCACTTGATTGAAGGTACCTTCAAAGGAATATCCACCGTCGGTGGATCAAGGACAGAAGTAAAAGGATTCACGGTAGCAGCAACCATGGAACCATTCTAGCCATCGGTTTCCGGTCGACCATCCAGTTCGAACGGATGGCCCATTTTGGCAAAAAAATAAAAATAAAAAATGGCCATAAACCGTTGAACGAGTTGACAGTTCGACAGCCTGGGCCAACGGTTCATTGACCGATTCAACGATTTTTGGTCAAGGACCGAATTTGGGGTAAAATGGGACCGGTTTCCTGGACGGTACCTGGGCAAAACGGTCCGACCGTCCAGGTCAATGGTAGTTCGAAAACCATGTTAGTTAGTGTAAACCTGGATGCCCAACCCTACTCAGGGCTACACTTGGAAATGGCGGTAATCCAAAATTGAAATACCCTAAAATTCAAATATTCACGCCCGTGCTCGTGCAGTCGTATGCATAGAGAGAGAGAGAGAGGTGTAAAGGGGGGAGAAGCTTGAACAAGAATCCTGAACTACAAGTGATCCCGATGTACACAGGCTTGACTAATTTCTTCTTCTTCTTCTTCTCAAATATACAATGTCTTGACTACGTTTTATTGTTCTATCTTTATTCGATGTTGATTTTATCAATGTTGTTTACTTCAGATGGCATTGGAACGCCAAACGATTCTTAAGGATCCAAAATCTATAATGCCAATGGCTTTTGTTTCATTCAATTTGCAATGGGGAACTGCTTTATGTGCACAGACACAATAGAAAAAGAACCGTATGCTATGGGATGGCCTCCGTGCCCTTGCTCAATCATCTCAGAGCTATTTTTCCTAACATGGACAATCAGGTTGTTTATTTTTTTGATTCCTTCTTATTTATCTGGTTATTAATGGTTATCATGATTGCTGGTGTTCTTTATTTTTAGCTTCATTTTTTCATTCTTTGATCGGATTGATTATATAAAATTAAAATTTTAATTTTGTTTCAATTTTCTAAAATAAATAGCTTTGGACCGGCTTGGCCCACAGACCAGCTTGGCCTGCAGCACGAAATGGGCCCACACAGGCTTAGACCATGGGCAATGCCAAGCTGACCCCTTAGTTATCCCAAGGGAGGGCGGCACGACCCGTTTTACACCTCTAATCAAGTTGCTACTGACTATTGATTTGGGTAGTTTTCTGGTATGAGATTTTGTCCCAATTAATAATTGGTTTGGGATTGGTTCTACCTAGACCCAACTTAGACCCAACCCATTGACAGCCCTATGTGTAGGATTTCAATATATATATGTATCATAATATTGTTAGGTTGCTTAATAAAACTTAGTTAGATTGTTTAATTAACAAAATTACTTAGGGATGGCAATTTTCTCCATCCTCGCTAGGTACTCGACCTCCTTGACCCAATGGGGATTAATAGGGATCCCTAATTGAGGATGGGGACGGGTATAGAGAGTGAAGTCCTTGCACTACCCCGACCCCTGATTATATATATATAATATTATATACATTATAAATATATATCAAAATATATTAAAAATATTATTTATGTTTTTAAAATTTTCTCTAGTTTAAGTGAATCTATATTCCAAAAATACTTTTAATTAAAATTTTTAATCAACTTTAATTACATAATTAATAGTAAATTGGTTAATTTTGTTATCTTACTTGATTAAGGAATGAAGAGAAAGGGTGTTGAATTGGAAAAATGGAAGTGGTGGAAAGGGGAAAGGAAAGAGAGTTAAGGAGGAAGGGGGTTTAGAGAAAGGATAGGGTAGTTGACGTGGGCCGCTTTTCTTTATATATATAATATAGATTATTTACATTATATATAAATATATATTTTGAATTATTCTTTATTTTAAGTAAATTTATTTTCCAAAAATACTTTCAATTAAAAAATTTTGGTGATTCAAATCCCCATAGGAAACTCGTATTCATTAGGGATTAGGGATGAAGGATAACTTTTATCCCTAACAGTGGTCGAGGTCGGGGTGGGGATTTGTTTCAAAATCGGGGTTGGGGGATGGGAAATATGGTTTTTGCCCCGAACCCGCTCCATCACCATTCAATTACTTTATCATAAAACAATAATTTACTTATTTTACTATTAACTAACAACTATTATTTAAATTTAATTACAAAATAAAAATAATTCATTAACAATAATTATGGTTTAATTAACCTTAAATTAACAATAATTATGCATTTATTATTTTACTGTGAATTACCTTCCTTCGATCTTATTATTTGGTTTTCAAATTTTAGTGTGCATCACACGGAGCCTCGCTAGTGTGTGTGTGTGTGTGTGTGTGTGTGTGTGTGCGTGTGTGTGTGAGAGAGAGAGAGAGAGAGAAAGAGAGAGAAATATATGGTATACTTTGGTTATGAATTTAGAAAAATTTGCATATTTTTCTATATTTGATTATAAAATAAATTAACATTTTATATTTTTCATATAATTTATTAATTCATTGGCTAGCAAGCTCAAATGCCAAGCCCTAGACAGATTATCAAGCATAATGTATGGATCAATCAAGCCTCCACAATATTAAAAGCTATTAATGGTCTATAAAAACTTGACTAAAGAGTATCCCTATGTAGAACTTAAATTGAATTTTACCAAAACTTTTTTTAAATATCTAAATGTTTAACCTATTGCCCATTGTTTAAAACAAAATATCCTTTAAACAATGATTATGAGAAAATGTCACTACAAAAAATGTTTGTTTCCCAAAATGAAGATGTTGTGATTTTAATTTGTGAAAAAGCATTAATTGTCCATTATTATAGATAAAAAATTGTGAAAAATACACCCATCACTATAAATAAAGATTATGTAATTGATATTAAACTATTCATCACTATAAATCAACTTTTATGATTTTGTGACAGATATTTAATTTTCCGTCACTACAACTCGGCAATTAGTGACGATGATTAAATCGCCAATCACTATAAGTCAATCAGTTGTGACGAATAACAATTGTTTGTCACTATACAACAATATTTTATGCTTTTGTGGCAGACATTCATTTATCTGTCACTATAATTTACCATTTAATGATGATTATTTAATTGTCCGTTTCTATAACTCAATATTTAGTGACAATGATTAAGTGGCCCGTCACTTTAAGTTCATCATTTGTGAAAGATGACAATTATCCGTCACTATATGCCAAGATTTTATGTTTTTGTGACGAACATTCAATTTTTCGTCACTATAAATTACAATTTAGTACGGAGCTTTAACCGTCCATTATTATAATCTCTTTATGGTGATGAAAAATTTCTCCGTCACTAAATAATGTATTTTTAGTGACAGAACTTTAAATCCGTCACTATAGAATTATTTACAGTGACGGACTCTACATAGAGTGATTATCCTAAACTTGTCCTGATTTGATAGGGATTACACTAAGATTATCTTTGAGTTATCCTAATCCTGACCAAATACTATTAACAGTATTTATAGATTTTGGCATTGGTTGTTAAACAAAATAATAGAGATAATGTACATTTGTTTACATAAGAGGATAAGAAGAGGAGGTGTTCTTATCGAACTTAGCTTGCTTGAGAGATTGGGGCAAAGTGTGTGGGCCTTGCATGAATTGCATGTGTCGATATTCCTTCATCAATTTCTCCATTTCTCTTGTAATCCACTTAATTTGCAGTGAGATTGTTTGTGATACCCGAGAGTTTGTTACTCTTGATGTATATGTCTTTTGCCGTTGTTAGAGAGATTTTTGTACCTCATTATTATTGTTGATAGTGGATGAATTTTGAACTTCAGTCCTGTGGTTTTTACCTTTTCATTGAGGGATTTTCCTTGTAAATCTTGGTGCTCTTTATTATTACTTGTTTTGTATTTGATTATTTGTTTCTATCATTGCATGATTGCATTTTGTTGTTAAAATCATTTTGATTTTTACAAATAAAATATAAAGATTTATTCCCAACCTTTGGAACCATCAAAATAATTCTTTTTTAAAATAGAAAAAAAAACAAATTTTCTAGTATAAAAATTATGTGAATTATGAAACATAATATCAAATAATCAGATAAAAACATGTTTCTGAAACCCAAAAATTCAAACACATATTTTTTGTTTCAATTTTGAAAAAAAAAAAAAAAACACATACACAACCAATCACATGTTTTCCGTGTTTTTGTTTTAAGAAGCAATCAATCTTTTTCAAATCAGATTTATTTGTTTGTTTCAGGAACCGGCAACAAGAAAAACAATTCACATTTTAAAACGCCCCCTCTGTGTGTCTAGCAAATCGGGATCTGTTATTAACAAGGTAATACAAAGCCAGTGTGTTTAAAATGCAGTGCATGGGATCAACTTGCGCCAACCTTGTTTGATTCTAGCTTCATTTATGGCGATGAACAGTAACATAAAAGGGATCTGGGGGCTAGGCCAAGTACCTGGTTAAGGTCTTACTTGGGGCAGCGACTGGGGCACACTGAGAAAGAGAATATGAAATTAAACCAAGGAGCTGAGCCTGCCCTCCTTATTTGACTTGTCAAGCTGTACCTCTCTATAAAGTTCAAAAGTTGTGAGTCTTGAAAACTCATCCCACCAAGCAAGATGGTTGTTCACAGTAGAAGTACCATTGTTCCATTTCCTCTTGTCCTCTCTCTCCTTCTCATATCTTCCACTCTCACACTCTCTGCCTCCATCTCACAACGCTGCAACCGTAGTGATAAGATTGCTCTCTTGAAAATCAAGAAATCCTTCAACAATCCCCAAGACCTTGCCTCTTGGAATCCCACCACAGACTGCTGTGAAAGCTGGACCTACGTCACCTGCGATTCCCAAACCAACCGTGTCACCCAACTCTCCATCGCACAAGCTAACATCTCCGGGGAAATTTCGGCAGCCATTGGCGACCTTCCCTACCTTCGCATCTTGACATTCGATCTGATCAGCAACCTCCATGGCTCTATCCCATCCTCCATTGTCAACCTTCACAACCTCATATCGCTTATCATTAGCCAGACCAATCTCTCCGGCCCCATCCCTGGATTCCACAGCCGCCTCAAAAACCTCGACTACCTTGACTTGTCCTACAACCAGCTATCGGGTTCAATCCCGGCTTCTCTCGCTGATCTACCCCACCTGGGAGGTTTAACACTCTCGCATAACCAACTCACTGGAAGCATACCAGACTCATTTGGAAGATTCAGCGGCTACTTCCATTCTTTGGACCTTTCTGACAACTACCTCTCCGGCGAGATTCCTAAGTCTTTTGCCCAGTTGAACCTCAAGTCCGTTTACCTTTCTCATAACAAGCTCGTCGGCGACCCATCGGTGCTATTCAAAGAAAACAAAATCACGGAAAATATGGATTTGTCCTGGAATTTGCTTGACTTTGATCTGTCGCAGGTAATGTTTCCAAGGACCCTGACATACTTGGATCTGTCGCACAACAGGATTCGAGGGAGCATCCCAAGACAGGTTACGAAACTGGATTTGACAGACCTGGATTTGAGTTACAATCGACTGTGTGGGAAGATTCCGATCGGTGGGAACGTGCAGAGGGTCGGTGTGTTTAACAATAATGCATGTTTGTGTGGTCCGCCTCTTCCCAAATGCAAGTAGCTTTGCCGCCATGGATGGATTAACGTAACTGAGATTTATTATTAATTACACTGGTGGACACTCAGAGCTGGGAGTTCAAACATAATGCAATTTCTATTTATGGGTTTATGCAATAAAACAGTGAGTGGCTGTAGTGTAGTGTAATACGTTTTTTCTCTTCTATTTCTGCGCATCTTTTGTATCATCGCTAGGTTGATGATGTTCTCTGAAAGAAATAAACTTATTATTATTGATGTCGGATGATTTTTAATAAATTGTCTTGAATTTTACATTTACAAACAGATTCTTACCAATAACAACTTGACTGGAATTTTATTGAAAAAGTTTTAATTAATGGCACTCATACAAGGGAAATTCTTCCTACTGGAGGTATTAGATAGGGGGAATGGGTACCCTCTTTCCTCATATATTTTTGTTCTATGTGTTGAATCTCTTGCCAGGAAGCTAGAAAAAGAGGCAATCAAGGGTGAGAAGCTCTTCCCAACAATCCCGAGAAGCTCCATACAAACTCCGATCTCACAAAACCAGAACCAAAACATAGAAAAAGGGATCATAGCCTAACCTAAATGCGGAAAAAGTAAAGTCATGGAAAAGGATGCATACCAAAAACAAAAGAAAATTTTAGAAAATGTATACATTTTTTTAATAATAGAAACAGTTAAAACAAAGTAGACAAATAATGTTTGGGCGCAGTGAGTTGGCCATTGGCCTTGAACTGTATTTATAATAGAAGAGTTCTGCAAAGAGGAAACTCTATCTTAGATAGAGTCCTAGATAACAATCAACAAAGATAACAAACAGATCTCATTTCATTAGGATAACAATTATCCTAACACTCTAAGGATAATTGTTATCCTAAGGATATACGCAACTGGGTATACAAGATATACTCTAATACACCCCCTCAAGCTCCATGCTCAGCATGAACATGGTGTTTGTCTCCCAAGAAGCGGAAGTGAACACCGGCGAGAGGCCTGGTGAGAATGTCAGCAACCTGATCTTTGGAAGAGATAAAACAGACAGTAAGCCATCGTGCAAGAACCAGATCCCGGAGAAAATGGAATTCAACCTCAGCATGCTGAGCCCGAGCACAAAACACAGGGTTGGCAACATGATAAGTGGCACCAATGTTGTCACACCAAATAGTAGAAATCTCAGAGAGTGTAACTCCAAGATCTCGAAGGAGAGATGAAATCCAAAGCACCTCAATAGCGGATGTGGCACAAGCACGAAACTCAGACTCAGTGCTAGAACATGCAATCGTTGCTTGTTTGTAGGAGCTCCAAGCAATTAAATTAGGGCCTAAATAGATAGCAAAGCCTCCGATGGATCTGCGATCATCTAGACACCCTGCCCAGTCCACATCGGAAAAAGCATGAAGATTAAGAGAGGTAGAGGATGTCCATGAGAGGTTCAAACCATGCATAATGGTATGTTTAAGGTAACGCAAGATGCATTTCACAGCTGCCCAGTGATCATCAGTAGGAGACTGCAGGTACTGAGAAACTTTGCTTACTACAAACGAGATGTTCAAACGGGTGATCGCCACATACTAAAGAGCCCCAACAATACTCCGATACTCAGTAGGATCAACAAGAGGAGAACCATTATGTCGAGTGAGCTTGGGATGAACTACCATAGGAGAGGAAATGGGTTTTGCAGCATCCATGTGAGACCGATGTAGCAAATCAGTGATGTATTGGCGCTGACTGAGAAGAACCCCATTAGAATGCCGAATAAGCTGAATACCAAGGAAGAAAGTAGCAGGACCCAGATCCTTAAGAGAGAAATGGCGAGAGAGCTCCTAAATGCAGCTATGGATAGTACATTGGGAGTTCCCAATAAGTAAGACCTCATCCACATAAATAAGAAGATAAAGAGTAATGCTCTTGGAACAAAACACAAAGAGGAAGAAGTATCAACTATAGAGGCTCTAAAACCCATTTGTGCTAACTGGTGAGTGACACGAACATACCAAGCCTGTGGTGCTTGTCGAAGTCCATAAAGAGCCTTATGCAATTTGCACACATGGGTCGACCTAGAGGGATCTTCAAACCCCTTGGGCTGTTTGATATAGATATCCTCACAAAGTACCCCATTCAAGAAAGCATTATAAAAATCAATCTGATGTATACACCACTAATTCATCATGACAAGAAAGAGAATGGTACGGATGGTTACGGGTTTTACAATCGGGCTAAAAGTAGCTGTAAAGTCAACCCCGGGGATTTGAATAAAACCTTGTGCTACCAATCGTAACTTGTATCTATCAATAGTACCATCTGCCTTCCGTTTTACCTTATAGACCCATTTGCTCCCTACCACATTCATGTCAGACAAGTAGGGAACAAGACTCCAAGTACCATTAGAAACAAGTGCATTAAATTCCTTAGTCATGGCATCACGCCAATGAGCAGATTTTACTGCTTATGAATAACCGAAGGGTTCCATGGTATCATCTCGAGACTGAACTAATAATGATTGTGGTAAGGGATACCTGGTCGTGAGATGAGAACAGGGAGGAAGAGATCCATCCATGGAATGAGTGACCATAGGAAGCTTACGAGAATGCTTAGAAGCAACTAGGACTATTACAGCAAGAATGTCCTGCATAGGACGTGTCCCACGAGGTCTGACTTCAGGAGAAGACATATCTGTGGAGGAAGCTATCAAATGGTGAGGGTTGTCAGTCGGCGGTGGAAGATCTGAATTATCCTATATCAATGAGTCAAAAGCTAGGGAATCTGTAATGGAAGCCGGAGGTGTAGTTGGAGGTGCAAGCGGCGGTCATAGATAAACCCTAGTTGGCTGAACCGATTCAGTGGGAGCAGTCACTGAGTATCCCAAGAAATGATGCTCATCAAAGATAGCATGTCTGGAGATGTATTCTTTCCCAGTTTCAGGGTGCGGATAGCGATACCCTTTGTGTTTGTCGCTATAGCCAAAAAGATGCATTTATGGGAACGAAAATCGAACTTGTGCCAATTGTACGAACGGGGTAGTGGATAGCAAGCACACTTGAAAATTGAGGAACCTATAATCTGGAGGGGAGCCGAACAAAACTTCATATGGAGACTTGTTCCGAAGAGTAGCAGTACGAAGCCGATTAATTAGGTAAACAGCTGTAAGGGCGGCATCTGCCCAAAAAGAGAAGGGGAGCGACGAGGAAGCCAATAGAGACAGGGTTGCTTCAATAACATGATGATGTTTCCGCTCAGCACAACCATTCTGTTCATGTGTGTGAGGGCACGCGACTCGATGAGCAATGCCAATGGAGTCCTGGTAAAAAGAAAGTTTCCGATATTCTTCACTCCAATTAGATTGCAGAGCCTTGATTTTGGTATTAAATAAATTTTCAACATGATGCTTAAAGGATAAAAATACATCAATGAAATTACATAATATCGAAACCTTGCATTAAATAAAACTGGGGCTGGTTCCCATACATCTGAAAATATCAAATCTAGTGGACGAGAAACAACTGAAGAAGACAAGGGAAGAGGAAACCTATGACTCTTACTAACTTGACCCGATTCACAAAGTAAATTAGAGTTGAAACAAAATTGACCTTCATAAGGTAGACCAAACTGAGTGACAACTTGCTTCACAATTCACATGGCTAGATGCCCAAGATATTTGTACCAATCATCAACAGAAGCATTTTCGCCAATCAATGCAAAAGACTGATTTGTATTGATCACCTCGCCACTGATACAACCCATCTCTATGGGCTCCTCATGGCAGGATGTTCCCCGTATAATCCTTCACAAGAAAATAATTACCATGAAATTCAAAAAATAATTTGTTATCCTGAGCAAATTTTTTAACAGATAACAAATTTTTGGAGAGCTCCGGTACATGAAAAATATTATTTAAAGAAAACTAACGAGTAGCATTATGCAGAACTGAAGAACCAATATTCTTAATTTCCAAACTTGAATGCAGACTGAAAGGGAGCAGTATTGCTAATGTAGGCTGCTGGTTCTGCCTTCTCATTCTTGTAGTTGAGATCATATCGTTGGCAACATTTAATCACCCCATGTCCCTATTACACAGTCGACAAATAATTGTATTTCCACATCCTCTACTACGATTATTCATGTGGTTTTCTAAAGAACCACACCCCCTGCCTCTCCCGCAGGTGTTCCCTGAAGAGGAGTACTGACTATTATTTTGATTTTTATTATTTTCCAAATTAGCCATATTGGCCGCAGGGGGTGAATCAACTGTGGTAGCATTCTATTCTAATCAGCCCTCATGGCCAAGAAGAATGTCTAAAACATCATTAATATCGAGGTCCTCTATCTCGAACCTATTAGTAATGGCAGCAAAAACATATTCATATTTGGATCCTAACCCAGCTAGTATATAAAGAATCAAATCACTCATCTTTATCGGTTCTACGATAGATGATTTTAATCTCAATTTATGCAAATAAAGTATTAATAATAGAATGGTTATTTTAGTACTTAAAATTAATATATATATATATATATATTAAATAACAACATATTAAATATTTACAAAAATACAAATGTTAACAAAATATTTGGGAATACATTATTAAATAAAATCTATCAACTCTACTAATCAACATTTATGCCAAAATTGGTTTTTAATTTTAGAAAAACTATAGAAAAAATATTAATAACATAATAATTATATTAGCAATTAAAAATTTATAAATTATTAATTGATATTTTAATTTACATTTGAGAAATTAATATTTGGTTGACTTTTTTTGTTAATGTAAAAAAATAAAAAATAGTAAAATAGAAAATAATTGAATAATTAAAATGTATATACTTTATGTGTCTCGGACTCTTGATTGATGCATTATCTATAAAATTGTATGATATTTATGCATATGGGCATATTAATTGTAATATAGTTTTTCATATATATAATTAAAATATACATTTTCTATTTATCTATACATCATTTTTAGTTCTTATGGCTATTTGATTTTAAATTTAGTATTGTTAATATATTTATGAAATTTATATGTATTTACTAGCAAATACAAGCATTTTTGTAGGTATCAATGCATTTCCAAAGTGTATCTGTGTCCAAATTGCCCAATACAAAATTCGATACCATACATTAATTTCTAGTTTTACAAGAGAGAGAGTGAGAGACGTGATGCATTTATTTATTATAGAAAAAATAATTTCCCGGCCCGTCAACCTGCACCGACAGAGAAGTCAGAAACTCCGGCCGGGAAGAAATGGAAGAAAGTATATACTGATTGTTGCATTCAGTACCACCAAGCTACTTGCACTTGGGGAGTGGCGAACCACACAAACACTTATTATGGTAGAAGGGGCCGGACCCCAGAGTCTGCAAATTCCCACCAATAGGAATCTCCCCACACAACCGATTATAACTCAAATCCAACTCTGCCACACTCAATTCAGTTAACTGCTTTGGAATACTCCCTCGAATCCTGTTGTGAGACAAATCCAACGACGATGTTGTCTTCGGAAATCTCACCTTCGACAGATCGAAGTCCAGTTGATTACGTGACAAATCATACCACAGCGCATCTGAGTTCTCTCTGAACAACATTGAAGCGTCGCCGACCAAGTTATTGTCGGACAAACCGATGCCCTGGAAATTCAATCCGCCTAACGATTTCGGGATCGTGCCTGAGAGCTCATTGTGAGAAAGGTCGAACGTCGTGAAGTTGCTTTTGAATCTCCCAAGCGAATCAGGTATAGTTCCTGTAAGTTTATTTACTCGGAGTACAAGGTATCCCAGTTTCGTGAGATCAGCCAGAGAAGCAGGGATCGGCCCGGAGAGTTCGTTGAAGGACAAGTCAAGAGACTCGAGGTTTTTGAGTTGGCTGAGGAATTCAGGGACGGGGCCAGTGACAGAGGTCCTACTGATAGTGAGCGACTTGAGATTCTGAAGTTTGGTGATGGAGTAAGGGATGGAGCCAGTGAGGTTGTTGATGTAACTGAAGTCCAGAATTTCGAGGTAGCGGAGATCGCCGACGGCAGCCGGGATGGAGCCGATCATGGTGGTATACCTGATGTAGAGGCGGACGACTTGGTCGTCTGCATCGCATATGACGTCGTCCCAACCACAGCAGTCGGTACGGGGATTCCAGGAAGCAAAGTTTTGTGGGTTTAGGGACTTCTTGATAGCGAGGAGGGCTCGTTTGTCATCTGGGTGACAACGGCTGGAGGCGGACAAACTGAGCGATAGAAGAGAAGAGACGAGAAGGAGAATGAGAAGAAAGGAGGAAGAAACACTGGTAGGAATGGCCATCTCTTGACTCTTGGTTGAGTTTTGGGTTGATGAATTTGCGTGGAGTGTGGATGCATGGAGGGTTGTTTCTGAATATATAGATCAGAAATTAATTCACAATCGTAAGTTCATCCGTGAAATACCAGTCAACAAAGAAGAAGAAGGGCTCCCATTGTTTTGCTCTCCTACTTCAGCTTTCCATAATTCCATCTCTATCTCCTGTTCTGTTATTATGTGCGTGCTTGAGTTTGGTCTCTGCTAGTTTCTGCGCGCCGTTCTTGTCCACTCCGGATCTTCTACACACAATTTGTTCTCACACACCCCTACCGACAGAACACCACCGCCGACTGATTTCCGGTGTGCTGCGCCCCTTGTAGGTAGAGTATGGGTAGCGCATTCATTGTGGGTAGAAGATCCGGATTCGCCATCCTGTATTGACTCGAGTCTGCAGGGTCCTAAAGGGATTGTCTCGGTTCTCGGTTCTGAATCAGCAGACGGCTGCAGTGAGTTTACATCTTCTGTCCCCTTGCCAATACCATTTAAAAGAAAGGGAAATTTTCTGATTAATACCCTCTAATTTGGGCATAGTGGCATTTTGGTCCCCAAATTTTAAAATGCAATAATTCAGTACATGGATTTCTAAAATATGACACTACCTACCTTAACAAATTACTAATTAGCCGTTACGTGACATTTGAAAAAGACGTTAAAGTGTCATTTAATTTTCTTTATCAATCATCTAAACATTGACAAAATGTTAATAGTCATAAATTCTTGTCTCTTCTATTCAAGAAAGTTGGGATCACCAAAATGCCCACTCAAAGGTGACCTCAATTTTCTTGAATAGAAAAAGTAAAGATTTGGAACTGTTAATTTTTTGCCAATGTTTAGAAGGTTGATAAAGAAAATTAAATAAAAATTAAAAGGCATTTATGTCTTCTTCAAATGTCACTTGATGACTAGCTAACAACTTATTGTCAAGTTTTAAAAGTTTGAAAACTAAATTATTACATTTCAAAGTTGGGGGACCAAAATGACACTAAGCCCAAAATATAGAGTACTAATTGAAAATTTTCCCTAAAAGAAATCACTTATCACTTTAATTTTGAAACAGGAAAAATAGGCTGGTGTTGCATATTGCTATTGGTGTGGGCAGAAAATTTTTTATGGCAAGGGGATGATGTGAATCCGGCTGTAATGAGTGCTGGTGAGCTCTAAAGATTAGATTACCGTGCATAGTGGATGACGATGATTCACTTTTTCGAGTAGAGTTGTTGTTTTTTGTTTTTATTAAATATTATTGAGAATTTTGGCTCTCAGAACCCCTCAACCTTGCGAAAAGGCCAATTTCTACCCTAAAAGATTTGAAGGTCATTTTAGAAATTAAGCTGAAAATGCCAACATGTATATAAGTGCGTAGTCCCACTTAAAATTTCCTCTTTAATCAGTCTTTCTCTCTCTGTCCAATCCTTACTTCTTCTTCCCCTATCCTCCTTTCCACCCGCCACCACCGTTGCAACTCCCCCTCTCTCTTTCACATTGCCATTTGGTCGTCTTCTCCCCCATCTTCAAAGCACCAAACCCTCAGTTTCTCATAATCACCACACTTAATCCTAACTTTTCAACCTCCAGGAAAAGCCGCTCCTTCTTGTTGTGGTCCTTCACGATATGGATCTTAGAAGGGATTTGGGCTTCAACTAGGGGCTGAGCTAGATCGATAGCCGTGGTGATAGTGAAGGCATCAAAGTCTTCTTCGAGCTTCTGTTGGGACTCCTCGTTGGTTTCGATGGAGAGGTCAATGCAGCCCCAATCAACACCATAAAGGACGCTAGTGGCCCAAATGTGGAATAGAATCATGGCATCACCTGGGCGGAGGTAATTCTAGGCAGCCCATTTTACAACAAAGGCACTTTCGTCGCTAGGACGAGAAAATGTGTGTGTAAGAGAGAGAGAGAGAGGAACCCACCTATTAAAGAGGAAATTTTAAGTGGGGTCTACATATAGTTTTAAGTGGGATCCATCAATTATTTTTCTCGTAGGAGAAAATTTCATGTGAGACCTACTTATTAATTCTCTCTTAAAAGAGAAAATTTCAGGTAAGACCCACCTGTCATTTCAAGTGGGATCCATCGATTATCTTGCTCTTAAAAGAGGAAATTTTAAGTGGAACCCACTTATTATTTTTTTTCAAAGAGGAAATTTCAAATGGGACCCACTTATATTATTTTTAACATTACTAATTTATATGTTAAATAGTCTTTATTTTATTCAATGGGACTCACTTGTAACTTTTTAGTTTTTTGAATTGAATGGTGCCACATTAGCATTTCTTAATATTTTATTTATTATTTAAAAAAATTATGAATAATGTCACTAACACCGTGTGTTTTTTCTACTAAAATTGGCCTTTTCAACATAGTTTAAGGTCTAAAATGACCATTTAAATTCTTTAGGGTTAAAGTTGGCCTTTTCACAAAGTTTAAGAGTTGTTAGAGCCAAAAATCCATTTTATTTATATTCATTTTTTATGTTTATGTAGCATCTATATAAAAAAAAAATCATTTTCTCTAGGTTTCACTTATTTATACAAGTGAAGTCCATCTCTCTGAGTGGATAAACAATCTCTTCACGTAGGACAAAAGTTGCCCATTTTAACAGTAACTTTTTTATAGGTAAAAGAGTCATTATATAGTTTACCAAGGCTCAGTTTGAAAAGAGTGCAAATACAAATATATATAGTGCAAATACATACAAAATATAAGGTTTTGCACTCTACATATTTGTATTTGTACTCTTTCCAAACTAAAGGCTCAATTTGGAAGGAGTACAAACACAAATATGTATCATACAAATACATACAAAATACAAGATTTTGCACTCTACATATTTATATTTATACTCCTTCTAAATTGAACATTTGCATGGGTAATTGTTTTTCAGGTAAATAGTTTTTTTTTTTTTTGAAAATTGAACCAGACCATAAATGAGTGAACTTATCCAAAGAAATAGCTTTTTTTTTTAAGTAAGCCCACATTCTATGACTATAATCTAAAAAAACAGCGTAAGAATACATGCAATATAAGTATTAACTAAGGTTTTAAAACGAAAATAGAATTATTTTTGCCATCAGTTTTAAGTCAGTGGTTCAACTGTTTGGGTCAAATAGTTTAACCCATGATATCAAATAAAATATAAAATATTTATAAATATAATATAAAATAAACGAAATATTAAAGAAAACAAAAAAATAGATGCAGAAACCGATTTCTTATAGACCACATAAATATAATTTCTTATGGATCAAAATATGAAAAAAAAAACTTGATTTTTCAAAACCCCATAACCAATCTCATTTAATGCCATTGTTGTGTAATTTACGAGTCTTGTGGCTTTCTTAGAATTCTTCTGACTTTTCTATTTTTTGAGAGTAAAAGACTAAAACATACATTGACTTTTCATAAATTGACTTAAACATAATGAAACATTAAGAATTGTTAAAAATTATGTCAATTAAGTGACTTGTTTATTTTTTAAAAATCCTATTTCGCCCTTTTATTTCCTACTTCCTCTCGTATCAGAAGGTTCAATAACGGTTCAAAAAATCCAAGGAAGGGATTGTTGGTTCCTATAGAAACTGTTAGGAGTTCCCTCAAATCAGCTTTTGCAATTCAATTGGATTTTTCCACCATGTCAATGCTGAGAGCATGCCTAGTATGACAATCCCAACAGAAATTTCAGTAGTAACCTTGTTGGTTTGAATAGCTTGTTGTTCTACTAGAGTTGTAAACGAGGTGGAGGCATTATTAGCAAGACGGAGTAACGATTTGGGTCTGATCGCCCAATGGGTACCATGCATTCATTGGGAAGAATTAGGGTTGGTTCTCTGTGCATGTGTAACTGTTGGATTCATGTTTGGAGGGAAGATTTAAATTACAAGAATTTTGAACTCCTCTTTGTTCAACTTTTTTGTCTTTACTGATTTTGACTTTTTGTCTTCTTTTAGCCCTTGAAGCATGTGATTGTTCCACATTGCTTGGGAATGGAGGTAGACTTAAACATATAAGTTAAATTGCTCTAGATGTATGGGGACTCATAAGAAGAAAATACACTATCTAAAAAATAGAAAAAAATATGTAATAAATTAAAAAAAAAATCTAAAAAGTAGAAAAATAATTATAGGATAATATTGAAATTAATAATAATTTAATATTTTTACATAATATTGTAAATAATTAATTTCACATATATCACGTAATAATTCGAGAAAATAATTTTCAAAAAAATTAATATATATTAATAATAATTTTAAACTCTTAATCTATATTTATTATATAATTATATATATACTAAAATTAATATTTATTGTTTTTTTGTGATAAGTATCCTTTCAATGATTATGTATAATCTTTTTGTTTTTGATGTAACCGTTTCTGGTCACATACCAATTTTTTGTGGTGTATCAATTTTTTTTGGCTAAGTACATTGTCATTTGACCTACTCCCAAGAGAGGATGGTGGAGCTCCCTGGTGGCGAACTGCCTGGGGGAGAGCTATGCCAAGCTGGGGAGAGACAGTGGAGCTCCCTAGTGGTGAACTGCCTGGGGGAGAGATATGTCGAGCTGCCCGAGCTATGCCGAGCTGGGGAGAGCTATGTTGAGCTCCCTGATGGCGAACTGCCTGACTCGTCATTTGACCTGCTCTTAGGCGGCCTGTAACTCAGAGGATGGTGGAGCTCCCTGGTGTAGCGCAACCCGACTGCCCTCTGCATGAGGTGATCTTCTCTCCTTTGTAGGCGGCGAGAGCTGAGGGACTTGCGAGAACTCCATCTTTTTCTCCTCTTTGTAGGCGGCGGGAGCTGAGGGACCTGCGAGAACTCCATCTTTTCCTCCTCTTTGTAGGCAGCAAGAGCTGAGGGACCTGCGAGAACTGAACCAAGGGGCCCGGGGGTATTTACCCGGTGGGGACTCTCTGATGCCTAAGTTAGCACTCTGATTGTAGAGAGCTTGAAGATGATATTGGAGGAATGAGAGAGCTAGAGAGCAGGGATTACCTTTATTTTTTCAT